GCGGGGGACAGGGCGGGGGACAGGGTGGGGGACAGGGCGGGGCACATTTGGTGGCGCACGGAGCAGCGCACGGGGTGACACAGGGCGGGGCGCACTGGGTGACACACGGGGGGTCACACTTGGCCACGAACTGCGGCACGCAGCAGGACTCCAGGCACTCCAGGCCCTTCTGGCCCGTCCCGATGGGCACGCCCGCCTCCAGCGCCCCGGCCAGCTCAGCAGACTCAGTGGAGCCCACCACGGTCTCCTGCGGGTAGGTGGTGAGGATGGGCCCCGGGAAGGTGACAACCACGGGTGGCGGGAAGATGATGACGCGCGAGTCGGGACAGGCCACCACGCAGGGCTCATTGCAGGCGGTGGCGCGTGGGTCAGGGCACGGCTCAGCGCACATGGTTTTTTCGCAGGACATCTTGCGGCTGGGCTGGACCTGAAAGGAGGGGACAAATGTCAATCCCAAGGAGCCGGAGGGATGGGATCAACCCCTGGACAGGCACAAGGTGGTGGGTGGGTTGATAACTGCTCTGCTCTGCTTGGCTTGGCTCTTCTTGGTGACCTTCCAGAGCCCTGGGATCCCAAACACCTCCCTGGGGACACCAAAACACCTCTTTTGGGGACACCAGAACACCTCTTTTGGGAACACCAAGCCACCTCTTGGAGCACATCAAAACACCTCTTTTGGGACACCAAAACATCTCTTTTGGGACACCAAATGACCCCTTTGGGGCTGTTGTTTAATTAATATCTGTTTTCTCCTCTGCAATTTGGGCTCCAGAGGTGGAGCTCAGTAAAATGAGGATAACAAATAAACCGCTGTTGGAATGGACAACACGAGAGGTTTTACTGGACCCAATTTGGACAAAGTCTGGGCTAAGAAGATAAAAATCCAAGGAATATCATCCCTATGATGGAACTGATCCATAAGGATACCAACAATTATGGATTTAGTGCAGTCAGTTCATAACAGGTCCCTTTGCCACAGATATTGAGCACAAAACTCACTTGGAAAATTCAATAAAAACCTTTTGCAAGATCACTACGAAAAACTGAAGCACAACAATAACCTGAGAGCAGCTGTCCCAAATTTAAATTTCAGAGGGATTAAAACTGGTCCCAAACCAGGGCTGAATTTTTCTTTCTGTTTTTGAAATAAATTTAAGGGTGGGGATTTGGAAAACAGTACAAAAGTCCATTTCAAGTTGTCCTTTCAACCTTACCCAAATTCCACCTCAAAGCATTGAGTGAAGGAGCCGCTTAATCTGTTGTTGCAGATTAAATTGAATATTTTGGGCTCAGCCCAGGTGATTATTTCTTTTTTAAGCTGCATATTGGAGAAGCCTGGGTGGAGTTCAGTTTGACTCAAGCCATTTTTGTTTTCTTTGCTTGTTCTAAACACGATGCCCAAATGTGAATAATTCACCCAAATTTAAACCCTAATCCAGGTGCTCTCCTGAGCTTCCCACCCTTTAAATCCACTACAACTCTGAATTCCCTGTCCTTGACTTGACCCTGATCAGAGAGGAAAGGAATAACTTAAAACCAGACCTAAACACAGAGCACAACACATCCCAAGCAGATTCAAATATTCTCACTTTGCATAAAACCAAATCTTTGCATAAAAAGAACAAAACCACCTAAAGCATCTTCCTAAGTTGACATTTTTCGGATCATTCCCATATCTCCTGGATAGGAAAACCGGGAATTTTGTACGGCCACATCCACAGCAATCTTGCGTCCTCATCCACAGGCGACTGCAGCTCTGCTCATCTCAATATTGCTAAAACTCGCGTTTAAATTTCCACACCACCTCTGCCCAAAATCAGATAAAAATTGTAACCACAAGGTCAGAACCGCCCCACCAGGTGGAAGCTGCTGGCTGAGGTATTTTAAGGTTACCTAAAGGTTGTATCCATTTAATTTCCATAAAGAAAAGCAATTAAATGTTTTTAATATTATCTAGATTGCAAATACATTTTTAAACTTTGATCCCACAGTGCTTCTGGATGAATAATCAAAATTATTTTGAATATTCCATGAAAATAAATGGAATTGTTTTCCAGAACTGCAGAACATGAATCCAAAATTCTGCACTGCGTTAAACGTAAACATTTTTAAAATTAGACTCATTTTATTATTTTAGGAAGAAGTTATATCAGAATCCAACTTACTCAGTTCACCAAGGAGAAGCCAACAGGACCCGCTGGAAGCTCCCTGAGTCAGGAATGGTTTTTATATCCCCGGCTGGACCACCAGGCTGATGCAAGAAAATAACGTCATATTTGAGCATTAGGCCCCATTACTCCCCAAACCAAATTTGAGGGGTAATTACAGTAATTGCTTTGCTTTGCTCACTGTTTGTGTTGATTACCCTTTTCGCACCAGCACGTGACTGCCGTTGTTTGGTCCCAGATTCTTCTAATTTCAGAGTTTTGAGGCTCAAATTTATTCCTGCAGCTCTGTCAAGGTGAAAACCTAGGCTAAGCTCAGCTTTGCAGGAGCTCCTGAGCTTTGCAAGGCTCGTCCTTGCAGCTCCTTAATCCCAGGATTTGTTTTCCTGGTCTCCAAGAATGCAGCAGAGTCTAACCCAGCATTAGCCGTGAGTGTTCCCGGCTGCTTCCAAACTTGTTGGGACGTGTTTATGGGAATGGCCAGACTGGAGTGGCCGAGTCGGCTCCCAGAGCCACTCCCGGCTGAGCCCGTGGGGCTCTGGCTCCTCATTTGGTGTCCAAGTTCAGGATCCGACTCATCCCAAGTTCCAAACCTCAAGGAGTTCCACCTCAGTGTGAGGGAGAACTTCCTTCCATATAGCTGCTGCTCAGGGAGGGCAGAATTCGGATTGTCCCTGTCTGGAGTCATCCCAAATCCACGTGGATGTGTCCCTGTGTCACCTGCCCTGGGAGAGCACTTCCAAGCCCAACAATCCTGGGATTCTGGGATATAAAACAGCACCAGGAGTTGATGTGGCCGGTCGAGCCCTGGTTTAGCACAAAACTCCTCCTCTGCCGCAGAATTCGTGCCTGGGAAGAAATCGGAAGTGGGAAAGTCCCTTTTGAGAAAAGTGGGATGGTCAGAGGGATCCTGGCATGGGATAAATCACTCCATCCCCAGTTCCTTTCTTGGTGGTTTTGGTCACCAGAAAAATGTTGGAGTGTGGAGGCATGTGGGAAACTCGGGGCAAGGGGAGAAGCCACCAAAGACAATCATTCCTTGCTGAACACAGGGAAAACCAGGAAAAAACCCCAGGATTTATTTAAGGTCACTCAGGACAACTTTGGATCGAGAGGACAAAGAGTTACAGCCCCAGTTGGTGCTGGGGTGAAGCAGAAATTCATGGCATGCTGGAAGCTCAGCCCCTGAGGTGAGAGAAGCCCGGTCCCACTTAAATCCCCAAATATGTCCTGATTTGGGAAGGTGAGTGTTTGGCCAAGTGGATTGAAATGGTATCATTAGGATAACAAACACAGGGGCAGGCTTTTAATCCCAAAGAACCAGAGGGATCCGAATTCCCGAGGCTGAGTCAGGGGAATCACGTGGGTGGCCTGACACATTTGTTTGGAAGGGACGCTATGATTCAGTCCTGGTTTAATACCCACAGCCTGTCATTAACTTCAGAGAGCCACGGCGCTTTGCATGGGTAAAACATGAGTGGGTGTTTGCAAAACCATCCCCAAGCATTTCCTCACAGCATTCCCCATGAGTGCTTTTGCCCAGGGGAGCCTCTGGGATCGCTCTGCTTCCAGGAGGGAATGGAGAGCACGGAGGTCGTGACAAAAATAAACCCCAAAAAAACCAGGAAGGAGGGAAGTGAGCCCAGGAAATGAGTCCAGGAAATTTTGGGGGGTGCTCAGAAACAACTATTTTGGGGTGGCAGGTCCTGGGATTGTCGTGTCAACATGATCCAGGGCTCCTCAGATGAGTGTGACACAAAATTCCAGAGCTGGGAATGTGGGATGGGCCCCTGAGAGAGGATTTTAAAGGAATCACAGAAATGGGATGGTTTGGGTGGGAAGGGACCTTAAAAATCCCCTCATCCCATGCTCTGCCATGGGCAGGGACACTTCCCACCACCCCAGGTTGCTCCAATTCCCATCCAGCCTGGCCTTGGACACTTCCAGGGATGGGGAATTAATGGATCAGGATCAGGATCAGTAGGACCTGTCAGAGGCTTCTTTCCCGGAGCAGCCCAACCCAGCAACTTCTGGCAGCTTCGGAAAAGTTTGGAGACTCTGGAATTCCTTTCCAGCTCCTTTCAGCAGTGCCAGCCCTGCCAGGAGGATTCCTCCTTCTCTTTCCTTAACAGCAGCAGCCTCCTGCAGCTTTTATCTTGTTTTTGGCTCTCTCAGGGGCATTCCCAGCTCCAGGTCCTCATCCCTTGCCAACTTCCATCCCCAGGAATTCCCCAAAAACCCCTTGGAAGGGAAGAGCTGCTCTCCCCTTCCTGGCACAAATTCCCTTCCCCAGAGCAGCTCCAGAGGGAGCTTTTGAGCCTGACTTCTGCACGCAGGAGCGACTTTCTCCTCCTGCATGTTTTTACTTATTTAGGTGGATAAAATTGAGGATGAGGAAGTGGTTGTGGAATTCCGGTTGGAAAAGGATTTCGGACTTCAAACCGGTGAAGTTAGAAAAGGTGTTGTGAGCAGGAAATACAAATAAATATTAATTATTCGATAAGTTTTGGATAGGGAAGGGTCTGGAGAGGTCCAAAGGGAGATCGGGGGGGCTCCAACCCTCCCAAATTCCTGAATTAAACAAAAAGATGAGTTGGGAAAAGGAGTTAAAATGATAAAGAACAATGGGAATTTGAATGCAACAGAACTTTAATGACAAGGAAGGGTTTGGGGCAGAGTCACACACAGGGAGTACAAAGGACAATTCCCAGGGCTTTGGGAAGTGATGCAGATCCACAAAGGCCGGAGAAGGCGATTCCTGGGATGTCCCTGGCTTGCAGCTTCCCCAGGAGCTGAGCCCAGCCTGTGGCTGCTGCCGGGGGAGCTGAGGCTGCCTCAGAAATAAAAGAAGCCACAGTTTCCTCCTCCAAACCTCCTGGAGCTGCCCCCTCCGTAGGATCCCCCTCCACAGGAGCCGCCCCCAAAGGAGCTGCCCCCACCGCAGGAGCCCCCGAAGCCCCCGCCTGAGGAGCCAAAGGATCTTCTGCCCCCAAAGGATCTGCTCCCTCCGTAGGAACCCCCGGAGCCAAAGGATCTGCTCCCTCCATAGGACCCACCAATGGAACCGCCTCCATAGGATCCCCCAATTCCCCCCAGGGAGCCGCTGCCCCCTCCGTAGGATCCCCCAATGGCGCCCCCGGACCCAGAAGATCCCGTGGCCCCCGACGGGAAGGAGGTGCCCACGATGCTCTCCTGGGGACAGGAGCTGAGGATGGGCCCCGGGAAGGTGATGACCACGGGCGGAGGGTAGACCACGGCCCGCGAGTCCCCGCAGGAGGTGACACAGGGCTGGCTCCAGGCGTCCGCGTAGGGCTGGGGACAGGACACCTCGCAGGGGGACGAGCAGCCGCTGCTCACCATCGCTCCTGACGACATTCTTGGGATGGACGGCAACCTGCGGCAGCACAGAAATCAGAACTGCAGTGCCCAAAATTCCACAGGAAAATGAAATCCTGCTCTGGTGCCTTCCATGAGCGGGAAAAAAGGGGGGAAGGAGAGTTTAGAGAGATTCCTGACAACATATTTTGTGGTAGAGGGAGAACTGCATCACTGGAGTAAAATTAAAATGTTCAACAACATCTGGGCCTTTACACAATCACCAGCATGATAAAAAACTGTAATTTCCTGATTGAAGGAATTATTGCCCTATAAATACGAGATCTCCTCTCATTTCCCTCCATCCTGAATAAAAGCCAAGCTCAGAGTACTTAAGTTGTAACCTCCCCATCAAATAATCAGGGTTTAATTGACACTTTCCCTTTGTGGTTTGGAACAACACAACCTCACATTTGGAGATCTGCATCTCCCAACCGCTCCAGCCACAAAATCTTCCCTGCCCGAGAGACAGAATCGATAAAATGGAACCATTTGGCTTGGAAAAGAGCCCCAAGTCCATTTTCCTGATCATTTCAGAGTTCTGACATGGAATCATTTCCAATTCAGCACTGACAGCCACATCCCAGTTAATGGAAATAGAATGAGAGGCAGAGAACTCACCGGGCTCGCAGGGAAAACCGGACTGAGGAGAAGGTGCTGGGGAAGCTGCAGAAAATCCCGGTTTTTATACCCTTCCCCACGGCTCCCAAGCCATGCAACACAACTTTGGGACATCACCAGTGACACGTTTTGCTGTATAAGCGCCTTCTAATTGTAATAATTGCTTTGATAAGTGCTAATGATTCGTAAATCAACCCCTCATCAGCCAATACATGCACACACCCTTTGTCTTGCTTTAATCCTTAAATAATTTTTAAAATTATTTTGTGACTGCTGCCATTTCCTGGCCTGGTTTGACTTGGGAATTGGCTTGGAAGGGTGAAGGATCAGGAATTCCCTCAGCAAGGGCAAAAATCAGTTTGGTTTTGTCAGGGGAAATATTTTCTATTCTCCAGAAAATTCCATGGAAATCCAGAATTGGGAAATCCCACAAATTTTTTCTTTATAAATTCTTGGATGGGAAGGATCATTTTTTATACCCATTTAACCAAAGGAACTCATTAAAAAGGACTTAAATTAATTCCTTGGATGCTCATTATCATCCAAGGAAGCACTGTATGAAAGCATTTAATTATTATAATTCTCCTTTTGTCACCTTAATTATCCTAATTCTCCTTTTGTCCCCTTTTGGGACAGCTGCAATATTCCAGGGAGTCACAAGTCCAGGAGGCATCATTGGATGAAAAAACCTAAATATTTTTGAGTTCACGAAGCTGATTCCATCTAAAACACAATAAAAGCATCTCAAGACTGGCCAGGATTATTTTTTTCAGGGAATTCCTGAATTCCCTGAAAATTCTTACAGAATTCCTGGGTTTAAACCTCATCTGGTGAGAGGCAGAAATACATAAATAGCAGGAGAGATCTCCAAGCCAAACACCCTTCATCAATCACCAGAAACATCAGGAGGGATTTAGACATGATGGATATTTTGGGGTGGTTGTCACAGAAAAACATCTCACACAAATATTGGTGTCATCAAACCCCAGACTGGGGTGGGGGGTTTGGTTCTAAATCAAAGTCAGCTGAAGAGATTTGAGATTTGAAATTCGAGGTTTGAGATTTGAGATCTAAGATTTGAGATTCGAGATTTGAGATCTAAGATTTGAGACTTGATTCTCAGTTGGAGCTATGGGAGGGAAGTTATTCCAGTTTGGAGCTGGAATTTCACCCTGTTTTTCCTGGAAAAGGTGGTCAGGCCTTGGAAAGGGCTCCCTGGAGGTGTCCACCAAGGAACACCTGGCCATTGTCTGGGTGACCAGGTGGGGATCAGTCCCAGGTTGGACTCCATGACCTTGGAGATCTTTTCCAACCTCAACAATGCTGAAATTCCGTGGTCATCCCGTATTTCACATTTCTATCACGATAAAGTTTACTGTTGGTGTTTACATAACTCCTATCCCCACATTTCTGGTGTTTCCAGACCTGATTGGAAAACAGAACATGAGGAGCGATATCGGGGTTAAGATCTTGCAACAGAACCTGAACAAGCCCTGTCAGGCCCCGGTGACATCCCCGGGTTTGACAGCTCTGCCAGTCAGCAATTCCTCCTTGACTCCTCAATTAATGTGAAACTTTCTGGGTTCCTCCAGTTGGGTTGGGAAATATCAATTTACAGGGAAAATCCTGGGTTCTGCTGCTGGTTCTCCCTTTCTGGTGGCTCTGGGAAGCAGCAGCACTTCCACCAACTCCCCAAAATCCAGATTTTGGGGTGGAAAGAGAAATATTGTGCACAAAACTGATTTATTAATCAATAAATCCATCAAGTGGATCTAAACACATTCCAGCTTCAATTCCAGTGAGGCCCAGGGATAGCACCAGCTCCAAGGTGACATCCTGGGGGTCGGAATGTGGAACAAATGGGATCAAACCCAAGGGGTGCAGTGCTTGGAATGTGACTTTGGATTAATAATGAATTTATCACGTCACTTAGGAGAACAATTAGGACAATTAATGAAATAATCCAGCCAGCAAAACACGGTTTGGTAACGCGTGGGAAGGTCTTGCACAAAATGCAGCTCCCATCCTACTGGGGGTCAGGAAAGGTATAAAAGAGCTCTTGGAATTCTGCAGTGCCATCCACGGCTGCTCCTCGTCTCCACTTCGCCAGACCGGGTGAGTTGGATCTTCTTTGTCCTCTGTGTGAATAGGGGAAAATATTTTTTGTCTTTTCTCTAATTCACAAAAGATATCTTCAGGAATCTTTCTAAACTCTTCCTCCTTTTTCTTGCTCATAGAAGGCACCAGAGCAGGATTTCTTCCATTTGGTATTTTGGGCATTGCAGTTAGGATTTATCCCCTGCTTCAGGTATCTCCCCATCCCAAAAGGCGTCTCCAGAACACGGAGGGCTTGCTCTCCTGCAGATCCTGTAGTGCCCAGACATCCCATGTGCTTTTCCACGCTTTAAAATCCGAAGTCCCATCCATGCCTGCATTTGTAGGAACACGGTCAATGAGAAAATTGGAATTTCCCAGGCAATGGGATCAGTTCAAGGTTGTTGGTGACCACCACAACTTTGTCTTATGGTCCTGGGTATGAGCTGCTTCCAAAGGCCCCTGAGTTTCGCTTTGCTCTCCAGGATTCCCAGCACTTCCAAGGCAGCAGGAAACCCTTTGGGAATCAGCAGAGCTCAGTGCAGAGAAACGCAGAAAAGGGACAAACCTCACTCTTCCCAACCTCTCCTTCCCCCTTTTTTTCCCACTCATGGAAGGCACCAGAGCAGGATTTCATTTTCCTGTGGAATTTTGGGCACTGCAGTTCTGATTTCTGTGCTGCCGCAGGTTGCCGTCCATCCCAAGAATGTCGTCAGGAGCGATGGTGAGCAGCGGCTGCTCGTCCCCGTGCGAGGTGTCCTGTCCCCAGCCCTACGCGGACGCCTGGAGCCAGCCCTGTGTCACCTCCTGCGGGGACTCGCGGGCCGTGGTCTACCCTCCGCCCGTGGTCATCACCTTCCCGGGGCCCATCCTCAGCTCCTGTCCCCAGGAGAGCATCGTGGGCACCTCCTTCCCGTCGGGGGCCATGGGATCTTCTGGGTCCGGGGGCGCCATTGGGGGATCCTACGGAGGGGGCAGCGGCTCCCTGGGGGGAATTGGGGGATCCATTGGAGGGGGTTCCATGGGGGGATCCTACGGAGGCGGTTCCACAGGGGGAATTGGGGGATCCTATGGAGGCGGTTCCATGGGTGGATCCTATGGAGGGAGCAGATCCTTTGGCTCCGGGGGTTCCTACGGAGGGAGCAGATCCTTTGGGGGCAGAAGATCCTTTGGCTCCTCAGGCGGGGGCTTCGGGGGCTCCTGCGGTGGGGGCAGCTCCTTTGGGGGCGGCTCCTGTGGAGGGGGATCCTACGGAGGGGGCAGCTCCAGGAGGTTTGGAGGAGGAAACTGTGGCTTCTTTTATTTCTGAGGCAGCCTCAGCTCCCCCGGCAGCAGCCACAGGCTGGGCTCAGCTCCTGGGGAAGCTGCAAGCCAGGGACATCCCAGGAATCGCCTTCTCCGGCCTTTGTGGATCTGCATCACTTCCCAAAGCCCTGGGAATTGTCCTTTGTGCTCCCTGTGTGTGACTCTGCCCCAAACCCTTCCTTGTCATTAAAGTTCTGTTGCATTCAAATTCCAATAGTTGTTGGGTTTTTTTTGGTTTTGTTTTTTTTTTCTCCAAGTAATCTTTTTGCCTAATTCAGGAATTTGGGAGGGTTGGAGGCTCCAGGATGGGAACCAGGGCCAATTATCCCACTCAGCACTGGGTTTGAGGAGGGGACAACAAATTCTCCACCATGAACATTTCCCATTGAAGCTCTTTTATATCCCTATTTTTGCCTCATGTTTTCCACATTTCTCCTACAAATCCTTCAGCTGGAATCCACTTTGCCCAGAGCCAGCTGAAATCCTCCTCTCTTAAATCCTGGAGTGACTTTCAGGCCACTTTAACAGGAATTTGGAGCTCTCGTTTCACCTTGTGACACATTCTGGGATTTGCTGAACTGGAATTCTGTGGGATTTTGCCTCCTCTCTCTGGAGCTTCACCATGATTGCAAACAAATTATCTAATTGTTTCCCAATTGAGCCTCTTCCTTCAGCCCCATTAAGGTTTTGCTCGGAGCTGATGAATTTATTGTGTGCCATCATTAAATTAATCACAGATTAAAATTCCTAAACCTCTTTAGGCACACCAGGAATTTAAGTAACTTTATTAGTGTGTCATCCAATTTTCTATTTACCTCCAGAGCTGTCATTCAATTTTTTAAACCCATTTTCAGCTTAAACAGAAAGCGAAAAATTTGATTTTCCAAGCAGGAATCTCTCATACGGACAACTTCTTTTTCTTGATATTTCCCATATTTCAGTTCATCCTTCTTGATTTCATAAATATTAAGGATTCTGTA